CAGTACAGAGGGTGGGAATAGACATACCCTTAGAACTAAGGGCCAGTGAGCCATTTGTTCCGGCCGGCACATTACTTTTGCCCCAGGACTGATCTTGCAGTTCTTTCCTTCAGAAACCCACAATTCGCCTTTGTTTGCAATTATTCATTGTGCCCGTGCACAATGCTGATACAATGTTTACAATAAGCAAACATCATAGCTTAAAACCCAGTATGCATAACCTGTATGGGTAGATTTGACACGGAATTATAAACTGCATAGTTGTTATTATCACTGACAAAATCTTCCCCTTTGTATCTTTGTCAAGACAAACTTGAGGAGAGAATATTTATTTCCTTAGCAAAGGCAGTTGAAACAAATACTCTGGCATCTTGTAATTTTTTTCTTTCTCCTATAGTACTTGTTTATCTTGTAAATTGATGTGAGTATAAATGAGAACCTTTATCTGGATTCAGCCGAACCTCCTCCATCGCTAGAAAAGCAAAACAACTTAAATACCTGAAATGAGTCATCTGTGATAAGTAGCAACACCTTCTCCACAACGGGTTTTTTGTTTCTGTAGAAACACCGGTAAAAACTATGGTCAATAGAAAGTGAAATCTCAGAAATAATGACCTGCGGGGTAAAAATGACAAAAATACGGACGTCACTAAGATTAAAAATTGCCTCAGACCCAATAGGCACGAGAAAACAATGCCCTTATATGTAGGAATGGAAATCAGTTACCTCAGTTACCAATTCAAAATGAATCTTATCACAAGTTGTTTGCATGTAAGAGAACATTTTCCAGCTATAGCAAACCTAAAGCTTTTAAACTGTCTTGTTTGCCCATAACACAGCTGAGATCAGGCAAGGAAACTCACAGATCAGATCAAGGAGAGCCATTTGAGTTTAAAGCCAGGAGAAAGCATTTGATTAATTCCTTGTGGCACAGTGGTTAAACTGAAGTACAGTGGTGCCTCGCAAGACGATTGCCTCACAGAACGATTAATCCGCGAGACGATGGGTTTTTGTGATCGCTGTTGTGCTTTGCAAGACGGTTTTTCCTATGGATGATTTTCACTAGACAATGTTTGGGTCTATGCTTCGCAAAACAGGGTTTTGTGTTTTTTTTAGACCGATGCTTCGCAAGACGGTTTGTTTCCCCATTGGAACGCATTAAATAGATTTCAATGCATTCCATGGGGAACCGCGTTTTGCAAGATAATGTTTTCTATGGACAATTTTCGCAAGACGACGAGGGAATTTCCCCATTAAATGGATTTCAATGCATTCTAATGGGGAACCGTGTTTTGCAAGATGATGTTTTCGCAAGATAGCGATTTTCACGGAACGAATTAACATAATCTTGCAAGGCACCACTGTACTGCGACTAAAACTCTGATCATGACCTGTGTTTGATCCTGATGGGCTCAGGTAGCAGGCTCAAGCCTTCCTTTCTTCCAAGGTTGGTAAACTGAGTACCAGCTACCTGGGGTGGGAGGGAGGGTGGGAGCAATGTGGAGCCTGCCTAATTATGTTGTAAATCCCCCAGAGACTGCTTTAATTGCTATTGGGGGCAGTACATTGTGGTTTTCTTTTTGCTTCTCTGTTCTGTACAAAAGACATTAGGTATAAAATTAAAGAATTCTCAATCTTTCTCAGTAGCTTCATCTTACTGGGGCTCACAGTTGGTCCAAAAATCTAGTTATTAATAACCTTTTACTTTCTTTCCATGGCTGGGAGCTTCTGGGAGGTATAGCCCCAAAGATTAGCATTAAGTTCTTATGGGTAGGCACCATGTTGTATGCCTTAGAAGAACTAACAACCCCCACAACACACATACAGACACACAGAGGGCCTCCTTGATATGCTCACCAGAGCTTTGTCTTGTTCACGTTTATTCAGTATTTCTGTACTCCTATGCAGGCTAAGATTATCAGTAGCAAAGATGGTACCAACAAAAGCAACCATTGGGTCTCCACTACTTTATACAGAGGAAGAAGAGAAAGGAGCACTGCCTTGCTCCCCTGCCTTCTCTCTAGAGACCACCACAAAGAAAAGAGAAAAAGAAGCACGACAAAAGCTCTCTTTAACTGGCTGTGGCACAGATGTAAATGAGGGAGATGACAGAGATCTTGAGCATGAGAGCACAGTCTGAGGTCATATTAATCCCAAACAGAATCTCACCTGTGCTAATGTAGGAGAAAATGTTTGATGACTTATTTATTTATTTATTTGACTTGTATGCCGCCTGCACCCTGCAAGGGTTTCAAAGTATCCAAGAAGATTTCCCTCAGGATTCTGTGTAGGCCAAGGGTGTGCAATGTGTGGACCTCTAAACAGACTGCAATTGCCACCAGCCCCAGCCAGCCTAGTCAGGGATGATGGGATTTGTAGTTTCCACTCTCTGTGGAGGGCAGTCTGCTTTCCGTTCCCCAGTATATTTATTGAAAGTTGCTTCTTACATCTCTGTGAGAAACATGAGATAAAGAATGTTCTGATTCTGTAAGATGCAGTGCTCTCTGGAGTAATAAAAAGACAGGTCTCCACAGAAATGCACTCAGCGTTTTGGCAGGGTCCTCCATATGGGAGGAAAGTTATATATCCTTAGATTTCCTTTTGCCTGTCTTTACTATGTCGGACAGAATAGGGCACTTCCAGAGCCATCCAGTCAAAATGCCTCTGGAATCCCACCACAGGGTGACTGTTGGCTCCTTGGTGAGAGCCTGCCACACTTTTGCCCATTTCACTGTGGAATCTGCTGCTGATGTCATTCTGGGCAAGAAATCTGGCTGTGCCCTTTTGTGATGTTTTGCATTCCACAGCAGTGATCACAGTATGGCACTTTCTGCTTCAGGTTTTCCATGATCTTTGCTCATTTCCTGGTTGAATTAACATAGCCTCTTTCTCTCTCCCTCTCTCCCTCTCTTATCTCTCTTATCTCTGGTAATTGGGCCCTAATGGTTTCAATATCAGCTTTCTCACTGAACTCCACAAAGCGACAGGCAAACAAGACACACACACACACAGACATATCCTGAGTCAAAACTGTCTATTTTGAATTGGCCACATGAGTTGGGTTATTTTACTACCCATTCTGAATACTTAAGGTATTATTTCCTGTTCTGAAACAACTGCTTTTAAGAGCAGAGAAGACCCCGAAAATACAGATTATTTTATAATAATGCAAACAAAGGGCCATAAAGTACTACGATTCTATTGGTCATCCTTTGCCAAATTTAGGATCCAGCCCCTTATTGGTTGCTGATGCCAATTTCGCTAAACCCTTGGGTCTTATAGATATGCATATATGATGGCCGGTACAATTAAAATACAATTAAAATATATGATGGCCCCCATCTCCCTTTGACCCTTGCCAGGATGCGCCTGAATGTCTGGAGGAAGGTGTATCCAATTCTCCTTATCTTTTGGTGTGTTTATGTATTCTTTTCCTGGGCTTTGATCTATGGCCTTCAGTCTCCGGCTTTCCTGCTGGTTCCTCCTTTCCGGATACCTCAGCTGGGCCATCTGCTAGATCAAAGGTGAATGGGCAATGGAAGAAGTAACAAAAGAAACTCTATACTACCTGTGAATGTTTCTCTCTTTGCCTAAAAAACCATGTGTGTGTATCCTGGGCCCATGTCTTTATTAACTCTCTGAGGCCTGTCCTTGCAATATCAGTGTTTCTGCTAAAACTGGGTTTGGGTATATTCCGGTATCAAGACCATGGTTGTTAGGCAGCTCAGGGATGTGGATGATGGCAGGAGTGAGAAGCAGGAGGAGCACTGATGACAGGGGAGGGGAAAGATGGGCGGTAGGGAATAAGAGAAGAAAAAGGGAAGATAATCAGTGCCAGTCAGAAGCGTGGCTGGAGGTGTGGGAAAAGCAGTCCTTCATCTGCGCTCTGGGAGAGAAGTCGTCTCTGCTCTTCCAAGACCCCCTGGAAATAAGAGTTCCTGAATTCTTAGAGGAAAAATCTTGTACATCACAAGAAAGGATTTCTGGGCCATGAGAAGGACTTACAGTGTGAGCCAGGATAGAACCATCAACACGTAGTGCCAGATCATGTTTCTAGTGCCAAAACCCAAGCACAGAACTAGTGTTTTATGACTAGTTAATATCAATGACTTAGGTTTTTGTTTTTTAGTAAGAGTTTAAGGAAGGTGTAGCTCACAATTAATGTAATTAGTGGAATGACATAAATAGGGATGTGTGTTTATGACTTTAATATAATGAGTAATGTTTTCTAGGTAAAAACAAGTAAAGAAAGTTAAAAAAAGACAAAAAGTTAAACTAACTTAGATTTTTTTTTTATTGTGAGCTTTCATGAACGAGTCCACTTTATCAGACACGAAGCTGCCTTGGGTCCTTTTGAAGAGAAAGGCTGGGTAAAAAGATTTTAAATGAATGAATAAATATTGTAGCAAGCAGTGACAATACTTGACCTTTTAACACTGTAATCAGGAATGCATTTTTTTTAAAAAAGAACTTCCCACGCTCTGTCCACAGATGCCAAAGAGCACCCTGGAGCATGTGCAGAGTGGCCTTCCCCCCCACACACACAAAGTTTGTTTGCTGTGACCCACAAACAGTGTGCAGCATCATGCTCCCGATTTCTGCCTAGTGGCAGAAAATGGGGTTGGGAGCTGATCAAATGCTAGCTGTGCATAACCAGGCACATAATTCGTCACAGCACTTTCCACAATGGAAGTTCCATGTGTGTCAATCTTGAGCAGGCAACAGACCAGTGAGACTCCAGGCTAAGCAGAGGATTGAGTTTGAGAAGAAAGGGTTTGGTGCGTGAAGTTTTTGTATTTCTATTTAAACTTCATATATCTCTGCAGCTCTCCATGTGAAGTAGCATTTGCAAATTTTACACAGATCTGCAGCTTCTTCTTCATACCATTGTTCTCACAAGAAGTAACCAACCCTGCAGTGCCGAAGAACCTGCTGCTCTTTGCTGCTTTATATCTGGGCCTGTTCTCACGTCCGTGTGCTCTCTCTGTTTCTCTCCCCAGGGGAAAAGTATAAACATGATCCGTCTTTTCGTGGACCTATTCAAAAAAGGTAAGAAAGCCTTCCACTCTTATTGGGGATGGGAAAAAAGAGAGGAGGGAATTAATTGCAACCCTAGTTATGGTGGCAAGGTTAATTACAGCAAAAAACCCCTGAAAAGTTGAATATAACTTTCAAATAAGTATTGACAAGCTGACAGGAGAGATCAAAATAAAAAAGGGGTTGCTAAAAATGGATGGATTTAACAGGATATTGGGAGATTTTATGGAATATATTTTCATGAAAGGGAAAGGTACGAAAAGAAACATGGCAAATTTGGTAGGGACCTGGGGCTCAGAATGAATACCTACAGTCGTGCCCCACTTAACGATTACCCTGTATAATGATGAATCCGCTTCACGGCGATGTTTGCGATTGCAAAACAATGTTTTAATGGTTTTTTTTCACTTTGCAACAATCGGTTCTCTACTTCGGGGAACCGATTCTTCGCATTACGATGATCAAAACAGTTAATTGTTGGGTTTTCAAAATGGCCATCGGCTGCTCAAAATGGCTCCCCACTGTTTTTAGGAGGTATTTTTCGCTTAACAGGCACCTGAAAATGGCTGCCGTATGGAGGATCTTCGCTGGACGAGCAGGTATTCAGCCCATTGGAATGCTGGACGACCAGGTATTCAGCCCATTGGAATGCATTGAACTGTGTTCAATGCATTTCAATGGGCTTTTTTATTTCGCTTTACGATGTTTTCACTCTACAGAAATTTCGCTGGAACGAATTAACATCGTCAAGCGAAGCACCACTGTAAATGGTTATCTCTCAAAAGGTCCTGGTGGCAGTGGGGAGCACTGAATGTTAGCAATAAAGATAACTGTGTGTAAGAGGTATTATTTGTACTCATGATGATATTCCTTGCTATGTTTGTAGTTGTTAATGCTATTTTCCTCTGTACTATTGTACTTTTGCCTCATTGAAAATTCTAAAAATAAATAAATAAATCCTTTCACTAACAAATAAGCTGAGTCCAGGTGCTATCCAAGCAGTGCTGAAGAAGGATTAGAACCCCAAGTTGTATAGAAGAGATCTGGTTGAGCTAGACCCACTGAAGGTGCCCCATGGCGCACCAGAAGAACATATTTGGGGCGTGTGAGTTTAAGCCTAATTCATTTTGCTGGGGGTGGGGGGGAGCTTTCCATGACACATTAATTTTCTGAAAAAGAAAGGTATACAAGATGTACATCAGCTGAACACTGCCATCACAAATAGGTCCAGAACCTGTTCTGGTCTTCCACCCAAACCTTTGGCTTCACTGTCCTTCTTTTCCAGGAGCTGTACGGATGTTATTTGCTGTGTTCTCTTCCTGGCCTTCATAGCTGGTTACATTGGGGTGGGGATACTCGGTGAGTAACATCAAAAGTTTCAAAAGTCAGAGATTGGAGCAAGGAGGGACTGAATCAAACTAGCAGGATTGTTCCGGCAGGCAGGCAACATTTAACTGGAAATAAGAAGGAAGCAAAACATATCTCATTTCACCGCTGTGAAACCAGAGCCTACTCAGGATTGTTTTGGCAACATTTAACTGGAAATAAGAAGCAAGCAAAACATATCTCATTTCACCGCTGAGAAACCACAGCCTACCGGTCAATGACTTTGTTTGCCTAGAGAGTCCCATGCAAATAATTGTGAGGCAAGCTGTGTTCAGCTTAGCAGAAGCTAAAGGTAGGCACATTTGCCACCTGCCAAAGAACAGGGCTTTCAAAGGCTTGGCAGTGGTTAATTTGCATATTTATTTGTTTATTATTATAAAATACATATAATTTTTTTATTATAACATAGCATGTAGCTTACCATTGCACAAGAACTCAAGATTGTGGCTAATGGCCAGTTTTAAACCATGTTTGTTTGTTATAAAGACAACATCTTAAAAAGCAGAGACATCACCTTGCCAACAAAGGTCCGCATAGCTATGGTTTTTCCAGTAGCGACGTATGGAGCACAGCAGATGGAACGCTGGGTGCAGTACTACTCTGAGCTATATTCCAGAGAGAATGTAGTAACCGAAGAGAGGCATTAAATAACATCTGTCTGTCTTGGAAGAGTTGGACAGCGAACCAACTTCAGCAGAAATAAAAGGAGCCTTGGATTCCCTCGCCTCCGGTAAGGCATCTGAGAAGGATATCCCTGCTGAAGTGCTGTAAAGACATCATAACCACCGAGCTGTATGAAATCTTTTATCTTTGCTGGACAGAAGGTGGAGTATCACAGGACATGAAGGATACAAACATCATCACATGGTATAAGAACAAAGGAGACAGGGGCAACTGCAATAACTACCGTGGCATCTGTCTGCGATACAAGGATATCTGCAAGCGGGATCTGAAGGCCTTAGGAATGGACCTCAACAGATGGGGCAAACCTTGACATCTGAGCATTCAGCCTGGAGGCAGG